GAAAGCATAACGATAAAAAATGAACCAAATTAAGTCTAAAGTATTTGGAACAAAGTAAAGACCAAGATTTGTATATAAAAAGTTATAATATAAAATTTTGTCCATCCCGTATGAAAATTTAGGAGCCGTTTGGTAACGTTTTCATTTTTTATTTATTGTTTCTAATTTTATTAAGAAATCTAAGCATTTGAAAGTTATCTATGTTTCTTGTTTTTCATTTTTCTATAGAAACATTCTTAAGTTTCTTGTTTCTTGTTCACATTTCTAATTTGTTCAAACATAAATATAAATATTGTTTTACCATTATTGCATCCATGAGCGTGGAGTCATACAATTCTATTTGAAGAAACAAAAATAAGAAATAGAAACGTTACCAAACGGATCCTTGTTCAACCACTGGAATTGGCAGCAAATCGAAGTCAACAACTTTAGCTTTATCGGCTACATAAGAATCGTTATCATATATTAAAATTTGAAGTTGAATTTGATAAACTTAAGACTTGTAAAGTTAAACACAGAGTTCATTGTTTGGGAAAGATTCCATTTAAAATGAGGAGAATAGAAAAAGAGATTCTGATTCCAACTGTTCACTTGATTCTATCCATCCAAACAGAGAGTTGTTCTCAACAAAACTCTGAGAACACTTCTCAATCACTTCAAATGGGAAACCCTAATGAGACCCAAATAAGCCTTAATTGAGAAGCCAATGGGACCTCCCCACGTGTGAATAGGAAATGTGGTTTGTCCTTATGCATTCTTCAAAAGGTGACAAATGGCCGACAATTGGATTGAGGAATTGATATCAAATAGAGAGGGAGAGAGAAAAAAAAAGAAGCTCTTTTATTAGGGTTTCCATGGTGCTGTCCCACATCAAACACTACCAAAAAAAAAAAAAAAATCAAACACACATATATCACATCTTCTTGATTATGTCGCTCTCTTGTATTTGTGTCTCGGACCCGTTTGATAATTATTTTGAATATACACATCTCGTCGCCCCAATTCATTTGATTACTGTTTCGTTTGTTTTGATTTACGTAATAAGTAATATGAAATATAGGAAGTTATAGATAAAAACTCTTCAATGAAAGGAGAGGACTCCGAACCGTCAATACCTAAAAATCCAAATCAACTTAGGACAATCCCAAGAAAAAGATTAGATGATTGAACTAATTTTCTACTCAAAGTTGAACACTCTACGAGAAGATTAATCAAAACCTAATTTGAATGTTTAGGGCTTACAACTTAGATCAAGAATTCAAAAGATGAGCTCTCAGTATCAATGGCGAAACACACTGAAATTTATTTTGTCTATTATTGTTATGTTCACATCATTAAGACCATAATCTCAAAGGAATAAGTTAAAAGACTACGCTACCGACCTTATTGATCAGGTGGCATAAGTGATTTAAAAGAAATATCTAAAAGTAATAACTCTTAAGAAGTCTACAACAAGGTACTGAACTACCCTAACTAACTAAACATACTCTAGAAGGATAAAAATGGAAAGTTATAAAATAAATCTTAAATAAAATGTAGCTCATAATTTAAAAGTCCTTCGGCAGTTCATATGAACAAGTAAAAAAATTACTAGAGTTTATTATTTCTTTTTTAATATCAATAAATGGAGGAAGGTCACGATATTATGTCTCCTCGGAAGACTCGGAGAATTAAAGGGTCGACCTTTGTACTTAGTTGTGGAAACACCCATATAAAATCTCGTTTAATTGAATTAAGGTCTCGCCCATCTTCAACCTTGCGCACCCGTCAGGTCGACATTCAGCGAACTATTTGACAATAGGAACCGTCGGTCGAACATCTTGTTGGACACTCAACCTATAAATAGAAGGTCTCACTCTAGTATCAGGTATCACATACTAGCTCGATCTTAATATTAAAGTCGAATTTATACTGACTTGAGCTTTGATGTGTTTGTCTCTCTCTTGTGCAAATCTTTCCTCGTTGAGTGACATTCAAACTCGTTACAATCACCTAACAGAATCGCCCGCAGAAGTCCCCATTGACTTTCTCTCTATAAAAACAAAGCAGTTCTGACCTAGACCAAAAATCGACATGAGACATATGTTAAGCTAAGAAATACACAATTGAAGTATGGTCTATAAACTAAAATTTGAAAAATAGAAAACAAAAAACAAAATATTATAAACGAGGCTTAAAATTATTCAAAGTTAATGAATTTTTAAATTCTTGTAAAGTATATAATTTTTATTGTGAATGTTATTTGTTCATCAGATGTCATACTTATTGCTAAAGTAATTTGGTGTCAAGCACACACAAACCCTATTCACAATTATCACTATAACACATATTGCTCACCAGTACCATAAAAGCCTATTAAGAGGCAAAACAATGTACATGAAATTGAAGAGAGAAGAAAGAAAACTTCAAAAGGAAAAATATCCAATTTTCACATTTCTAATTTTATATTCTCTCGTTGTTTTCGTTCTCGTTCTCGTTCTCGTGGTGCCTTATATTCTTCCTCAATTTTCACAACAATTTTAATATTTAAGGGTTGTTAAGTTGCCAAAAGCAATCCCTTAGAAGAAAAAAACTAAAACCAAAATGGTTTTGAAAAAAATATCAACATTTTGATTGTTTATGTTAATGAAGTGTCTTTGACTGAAAAGAAAGGAGATGCTATTGGGTAAGAGTGCACTTACTTTTAAAAATTTCGTCTCTCTTTTTGGCTTATATCCAACTGGAGAGAAAGTCCAATGTACATGATTTCCTTTTTGTTGGGTTTTTTTCTTTAGGTTTCCTAAAATTTTCTTCCCAAAATCTTTGTGTAGATTTTCTTTGTCCACTTTTAACTTGGTGCAATTGATGTGTTAATTAAAGTGGTTCACTAGTATAATAATAAAGTAAATTCAACCCATAAAATATGTTTCTTTTTAAGATGCTACTTATTGAATTAAATCGGTTAAATACGAAGTACTAATAATCTTATAAAACCATCGAACTTGATCAAATTCTATCAAATAAAACGACGTGGGAAAATTTTATATCTTTTCGAATCTAATCTTCAAAACCAATGAAATGATATCATATCTCTCGTGAACCAATAAAACTTGACTTTAGCAATCAATTTGAACTCTTCAACTCGATCGAGTATATTCTAACGTTATATTCAGATGGATATAATACAATGGTTCATTCTTAAGCTTATAAAGAGAATATGACACGATTTGATTAATAAATTATTCTCCTCATCAACCCACTTTGAAAAGCTATAATTATTACTATTCAAATATGGCCACTAATATTCTTCTAAACCATCTTTTCCAAGTAATACTTCCAAAAAAAAAAAGGCTTGGTTTTGTTGACTTGCATGTAGAATAAGCATATATAACTTTGCAAAGTATAATTTGGCCAAAGTATTTTTTTTGGGGAAGCAAAGCAAAGCATAAAGTTTGGAGTGACTTGAGAAATTTTTATGGAGCAAAACTACATGCTTTTGGTTCAAGTCTCTAGATTACAAAGCTAAAAGTAGTTTAGGAAACAATTTTATTCCTTTCCATTAATTTTTAACTAGTTGAGCAAGAACTCACATTCATTTGGAAGCTTAATACCTAAAGCACGAAATATACTTGTCTATGTAAAATAAGAAAGGTAATTGTAACGATTAAAGTGATTATTTGTATAAATTTCTAGAACTAAATGTGATGATCGAGTAGAGAGGAGGGATACATATGGATGAATTGGTAATACATCTGAATGAGAAGGTACGAAGATTAGGAGGTCAATCGACCCTAAGATTGCTCCAAGTCAAGCACGCTTAACTTTGGACAATGTCATAGCTAGGTCATAGGAGATACAAGGCTGGGGTAATTAGGGCAAAATCCAGATTCCAAATCTTGGTTCAAATTTTGGACCTGGGGAGTTACACTCAAATAAAATAGATATTTAAAAATTTAGAAATAAAAGTAAAAGAAACATGAAAATTTAGGACTAATAAATGAGATTTAAACCATAATTGTTCATTAATTACCGAAAAACAAAAGAGAGGAAAAAAGGAACAATTTTGCCCCATTTTTTTCTAAATTTTTGCTTTTGAAGTTTTGATTAAACCAAGCTATGATGCTCTCATGTGTCTTTTTTTTTTTTACATTTTTTTATGCTTTTGAAGTTTTGATTAAACCAAGCTATGATGCTGTTATTTTTTTTTATTTTTTTTATTTTTTTAATTTTATGGAAGCCATGATAAGTTTATATGTGGTATCAATTCATCCATATGTACATCTAAATTGGTATCTTTGAAGATGTTGCCAATTCTGTATCTTTCTTTTAAGATATTCAATTTTGTATCTTTCTTTTAAGATATTTATGATTCAAAAATACGAAATAGAAATTTGAAATATGTCTTAAAATATATATATATATATATATATATTTTTTTTTTTTTAAATATGCCTTTTAGATTTTAAATCTTGTGATAGGTCTTGATTTACTAGACACATTTTAAAGTTTAAAGTATCTATTAGACGGACACATTTTAAAGTTTAAAGTATCTATTAGACGTAAATTTTGAAAGTTTTAAGGCCAAATTTCATTTTCTAATTTTAATTTATTTTTTCAAAATTAGGGATTAGATATATACAAATCCAATGTAATGTGACCCGTGAGAATAAAGCCTTGGGCTCAGAATGAAGTTTGATGGCCCAATACTACAATTAGACCAAACCTTCAAAGGCCCATAATCTGGTTTCTTTGAGAATATTGGGCCTAGACAAAGACCAGAAAATATGAGCCCGGCCCAGATAAAAGATCGAACGAGGTGACAACTTTCATGCAACCGCCTAAGGCGCCGACGTTTCTTTGAGAGATTGAGCAAAGTAAAAGTCAACGGAAATTTTCATCCGTTGACAATTGTGGGACCCAGTGACAATCCAATTATTCAGAGTTTCGAAATGGGAACGGCTGTAGAGGATAAGTTTTCCTTTTCCCGTTCTTAGAGGATTAAAGCTTACGCAAAAATTTATGTATTTTGCTTCGCCAAACTTTTTTTACCGGTTGATTGCAGCAGACGATCTGTCTCGTCTCCGAGCGAACCCATTTCTTCGTCCTCCGAAGCGGAAATTTCCCCAATCCATAAAAAGAGGAGGAGGAATTGGAGGTGGAAGGAGAGATTCGAGAGAGAATTCGCTGAAATTGGCCCTGTTTTTCTTATCATTAATCGATGTCCATATCCATGGAGATGCCTACCTCGTGGGATGCTCTTCGCAAACAGGTCCAATTCTCCTTTGAATTCCTTATTTATTTATTTATTTTTGTTGTTGGTTGGAATCTGTTTGGTTCACTGCTATAATTTTTCTCGATTTGGTTCAGTTTTGGCTCTATTTCTGATTGTCGGCAACCGTGAATCTTGTTGTTTGAAAAACGATTAATATGAGCGATTTTCGTTGCGTGCGATTCCAAGAATTAGCAAAGATTGATGGTTTGACTTTTAGCTCATGATCTATAGCTCTTTAGGTATGGCGATTGGCGAGTTTCGAATTCGGAGGATCGGTTGGATCGTCCAGAGGCGGGCAGGATCCCGAATTTGGAATTTGAGATATTATTTTGGTCTTGCCTGCCAGCGTCCGTTCTATTATGATATTACCGATGAAGCCGTTAACCTCAGGATTGTAGTTCTTGCCTCCGCATAATTCTTTATGCTTCATTGTGCTATGTTTTTTTGGAAATGATAAGATACTTAGAACATTTTATACACACAGATAAGCTATTTTAAAAAGATTGACAGTCTGGGTCTGTCACTTATTCGTCCTCTGTCATTCAGATTTTTCAAATTTGGATCTTGTTTGGAAGGATCATGAAATTGATTTATTTATTCATAATGGAGGATTCTTTTTTTTCTTTTAGACTGTACCTTTTGGAAATAGGACTATATCGCTCTGCATCGCCAATTTTATCTCATATATTTTGTTTGTATGAGAGAGTATATTTTTTCATTCTACATTATCTCACCTCTGCTGTTTGATTAATTGTTACTTGTGTAATGAAAATGTTTCTTATGCGTTTACAGGCAAGGAAACTTGAAGCTCAGTTGGATGAGCAGATGAATTCTTTTCGAAAACTAGTTTCAACAAAGGTTTCTACAAATGTTGATACTGCAGAGAGTGATGTTGAATCTGGGATAGAACGTCTATTAAAGCAGCTCCAACAAGTGAATTCACAGATGCAAGCTTGGGTCTCATCAGGTGGTTCGGAAATGGTTTCCCATACCTTGACTAGACATCAGGAAATTCTTCAAGATCTTACGCAGGTACCCTGTCTTAAAAATTCTTGTCTAGTAGCAATCTTAATCTCTTCACATTGGAAGGGAAGGAATGTGATAGTTGCTTGGGTTTTGTCTTTTCCGGTTTATTCTAATAAGTTTACTTTAGATAAGCGATAGGCTTTAAGCTTCTCATTCTGCAAACTACATAACAGTGAACTCAGGACTTGGTTTGGCATTTTTGTAATAATGGTAGGACTTAGGAGCGCAAAACATTATTTTTCCTCATTGATTATCTCCCTTTCCTCTAATTAATGACATTTCTGAATGTGGGGAGTGATGAGTTTGGGGATAACCATTGGACCTTTTTAGGCTCATTTGTGAGACCTGGTTTAGTTATAGTCCCAGCTTCTGCCAGATCCTTATTTTCTCTTCATTTTTCTGCAAAAAGTCTGTTCACTGTTGTACTTATGATTATTCCTTATATGGAATCTCAGACCAAGTTTTGTTGATTTTAAGTGCAGGAGTTTTATCGTCTTCGCTCCAGCCTGCGAGCTAAGCAAGAACATGCTTCACTTCTAGACGACTTCAGGGAGTTTGATCGTTCAAGACTTGAATTGGAAGATGGTCTGGGTACTTCAGAACAAACTCTTATAAAGGAGCACGCATCTATTAGCCGTAGCACAGGACAGGTATCTTTACCTCTATGGCCATATCATAATTATTTGCATAGACAAAAGAATTCCATTATATTCAACTTGAAAGTTTAGTATATTGACATGGAGCCATTTTTGGTTTAATGACATTATTACCATATTAATAACTATAATGAGCAACTTATGAATAAGTGAATCAGGTTTTGCAACCTGCCGTTGATTTTCATGCTAGTAAGTTAGTAAACAGCTACTTACATATTGGACTCAATTTTTTTTTTTGTTTTCTTCCTGCTGTGGTTCGTTCATATCATTGTCTGTTTGTTTGACAATGGTTGAATCTTATACCCAAAAAAAGGAAAAAAAAATATTCATCATCAATTTTAACTGGGTTTTTACTGAACTTGTATATTGTAGATGGATAATGTGATTTCACAAGCCCAAGCAACCCTAGGTGCACTTGTCTTCCAGCGATCGACCTTTGGTGGCATCAACTCAAAGCTTAGTAATGTTAGCAGTCGCCTTCCATCAGTAAGTGGTTGTGGCTACTCTATTTTTCCATTGGTAAATTTATGAAATGATCTCATACATGCATATCTGAGAGTAATGTCCATTTCGAATAGATAGTTCATTTTAGTTAAATTTATAAACTCTTCATCAGCATAAGCATACACAAAGATCCTGATTAGATAGCGTTCAAATGATGAATCTGTTTGATTGATTTTGAACTCCAATGATGGTGCAGGTAAATCATATTCTTGCAGCAATTAGGAGGAAAAAGTCCATGGACACAATCATACTCTCCCTTGTTGCGTCCGTATGCACATTTCTGATCTTTATCTACTGGTTGACCAAGTGAGTTGTGATTATTTGTTCTTGGCAACTGTGTTGAAAGTTGTACGTGCTTCTTGTTTTGATACACTCTTTACAGGGTCCAGCTCATCTTTTCTTATTGACTTTACTTGTAACAAATTTTCCCAGTAATTCATTAAATATTATTCATATTTTGGCTGAAATTTACCGGGGCGGGTTTACCTGGCCGGAAAACTGAAGTTGGTGCTTACATCTATAACTACTGTTATTCAACATGGGGAAAATTTATCCTCTTTGTCTCCGGATGGGTTTTTTAGTTCAACATGTGGGTGGAGATTCGAACTTCTAATATTTTGGTCGAAAATATATGACTTAACCAGTTGAATTGTGCTCAAGTTGGCTCTTCGGGGTGGGGTTGAAAGAATAGTTTGTATTGTTCTTTTTCCCTGGGTAAATTTTGACTATTTGCTGGTGGTTTGTGAGACCGAGATGCTGTCATTTATATTTAAGCCATATTACCAAAATTGGAGATAACACGGAGAAATCTTCTCGTGTCTCATGTAAGGATAGGAAGATTGACTCGACAGTATTTTGTTGTTGAAAATTTGGCGGGTAAGTTTTAAAATTGAGATTGGATCCATCAATAAGATGGATTTTGTTCTCGAAAAATTATCTCATTGATGATATAAGAATATAATTTGTTCAATTCTGTACCTGGAAAGAACAAAAAGATATAGGGAATCAGTGTATGTGAAAAAAGTTCAATCATTGAATATGAAAATTATAAGCTAGAGAAAGAGACCAACAAAACAAAACCTTAAAAAATGAAAATGAAAATTATGGATTTAGTCCAAAAACTTTCGAAAATTTCAATTTTGTTATTAAATTTTGGACTTTACATCAAATAAGAGAGCCCATTTTAGAAAGGAAATGCACATTTTCAACTTCCTCTACCTAAAAAAAAAAAGAGAGAGATTGTATTTGAGAAGTTAAAGACTCAAATCAATAAAAGCACATTTTAGAGTTTATACTAAATTTTTATTCATTATTTATTTATTTAGTTTTAGTACATTTATTCGTTATTAATTGGTCACAAATTTTTGGAAAAATTTAACCAAATCAAAGAACCAAACTAAAATTACAGTAATTTAGCTCAATTATAATTTATATATAAATTAGAATGACCAGAAATTGAAAGAACCAAATTAAAATTACAGTAATTTAGATATGAAATTAGAATGGGTCATTGTGTGTCGTACAAATTCATAACATAAATCAGTGAAATCTTTTATTTTTTGAAAATGTCTTAATAAATTTTTAAATATAAAGTAAATAACAAAACTGGAGCGAGCGTCAAACCAAAAAACCAGAGCGCGAATGGCCGACGAGGATCCATGGTTAGCTCCGGACAAGCTCTACCACGTTCTTCTCTGTTTCACTCTCACCATCTTCTTCGATGCATTGGCCCGTCAGATTCGGTATCCATTCATCCGTCGCCACTCCATTCTGATCGGATCCGTCGCTTCCCTTTTC